AAAATGAAACTTAAGGCCAGCAAATTGAGCAACACAAAAAGTAGACAGGTACAGAGAAATTTGTACATGTAATCAGCAGAGAGAGATAAACTGACAGCTAATGTCTCAATAGCAACCGTGGAAAGCAGAAGCTATTGTACTGGTATATTCAACATTTAAAAGAATATAGCTGCTAGCCAAAATATCCTTCAGGAATTGAGGAGAAATAAGGCAATGTTTAGATGGGAGAGTTTGCCAACAGTAGACACTCACTAGAGGAAGTCCCAAAGGGTGTACTGAAGGAATTTCTAAAGGTGTGAAGACAAACTTTAGAAGCATTAACATGGGGCCTGGCATGGTGGCTCACACCTGTAATCCTACCACTTTGTGAGGCCGAGGTGGGCAGATTGCTTGAGCTCACAAGTTCGAGACCAGCCTGGGCAATGTGGCGAAACCTCATCTCTACTAAAAATACAAAAAATTAGCTGGGCATGGTGGTGCACACCTATAACCTTAGCTACTTGGGAGGCTGAGGCACGGAGAATTGCTTGAACTAGGGAGGTGGAGGCTGCAGTGAGCCGAGATCACACCATTGCACTCCAGCCTGGGTGACAGAATGCGTGTAAAAAAAAGAAAGAAAGAAAAGAAAGAAGGAAAAAAGAAGAAGAAAAAAGCATTAGCATGGGAAGGAGGAAGGGAGGGGAGGCTGAGTCTTGGAAGCAGAGCTCCACACGGGAACTGGTTCCCTTGAAGCCATTTCCTGTCCAACTAAACAGCTGATGAGACATGGGAGCCAGCCAGAGCTGCACTGGAGCGAATGGAGACCGCTGCATGACACGGGCTTCTGCGCTGGGAATTTCTGAAGACTGCACTGGAGGAGTCATTACGTTATACAGCCTCATGGTGACAGTGAGGATGGCATGAATGGTCATGAAGATACAAATCGTTCAAAAGAAAGTTGCAGAGAATGAGATATACATTGTTTTACTGCACGTGTCACAAGGATAATGAAACATGCCATATCTCAAATGGGAAATGCCCAAGAAAGTGTTCGAGAATGTGTATGTGCATTCATCAGCTTTGTAACATCAGCAGCAAATGACCGAGACTAAGAGAATTGGAAATGACCAGTGGAGAGGATCTTCTCTTGCCGTGTCTACTGTAGGCCTCAACAGTTATGTGGAACCTCTGAAATTATCCCTTCAGAAACTTAGAGAGGCTAGGAAAGGAGAGAAGGGAGTTAGTGGAGAAGTCAGGGCTACAGAACAGGCATTTGCTAGCCAGTCACCAGCCGGCTTCATACCTTCAGCTGGACAACAGCAAATGTTATGGTTTGTGCACCACCATAGCAACACATTTCTGGTGTTCAACAAATTCTATTTCCATGGTCAGAAGAAATGATGGGATGGGGAGTGTAGGGAAGGGAGAGTCTGTATGATTCTGGAACAGAAATATCAGAAGACAGTGACTGGTGAAAAGGTGTCCCTTTGTATATTAAGTAGCTGTAATGTAGCTTCCTGATATGTGACTAGTTGAGGTGTTAATTCTGACTAGAGAATCTTTTTCGTAAATGATATTTATTTATTTATTTAGACAGGGTCTCACTCTGTTCCCCGGCTTCAATGGTATGACCTTGGCTCATTGCAGTTTTGAGGTGCATCCTCCCATCTCAGCCTCCAGAGTAGTTGGGACCACAGGCACTCACCATCATGCCCGTCTAATGTTTGTACTTATTTTGTAGAGATCAGGTTGTGCTATGTTGCCCAGGCTGGTCTCAAATTCCTGGGCTCAAGCAATCCTGCCTCGGTCTCCCTAAGTGCTGGGATTATAGGCGTGAGCCACCGCACCCGGCAATGATTTTTTTTTTAAATTTTACTTTGGATTTTAAAGGTATAAAGCATTTTTATTTCCTAGGAGAGTTTATTGCTCTGTAAGACTCCTGTATGCATTGTATATTACAATTTATTACTGTCAGACATTTGTAGACAGTGTCTTATTTTCATTTTGAGTCATGCTACTTTTGTAATTGAGGAAGCAGCTGGGTTAATCCATAAAGTCTGCCTTTTTAATAAAATATAAAGGTAGAGTTCATTTTGAATGCAAGTTGCTCATGTTATGAATCACATTTGTCTTGGTTATATATCTTGCATGATAGTTCAGCTAGAGTTTTAGCATTTACTGTATTTATTAAAATGATTTCTTTTGTAAAGCAGTCATAGCTGGAGCAGCACCATTTTTTTAAACAGTATAATTGAGTAAGTGTGGATGCAGAAGCAAATACTGTCTGCCCTATTAAACTTGGTGCCCGTTAACTGTTTGCAACGTTCATTGTGCCTGTTAATGTCGTTTTAGTTATGGGAGTTTTATCAACACTAGACTTGTTTTTGAATTGCATTATTAAGAGTGTTGGAACTCATTTAAGTTTAGTGTAGTTCTAGTGCTTGTGAAATGGTGCCCTTTCACTTATATATAATTTTTTTTAAAACCGTATTTTCAAGTACTATAATATTATCCTTCAGAAGAGGAATTTTAGCCTGGATGTGGTGGCTCATGCCTGTAATTCCCAGCACTTCGGGAGGCCAAGACAGATGGATCACTTAAGGTCAGGAGATCGAGACCATCCTGGACAACATGGTGAAATCCCATCTCTACTAGAAATACAAAAAATTAGCCAGGCATGGGGGCGTGCACCTGTAATCCCAGTTACTCTGGAGGCTGAGGCAGGAGAATCACTTGAACCTGGGAGGCAGAGGTTGCAGTGAGCTGAGATCGTGCCACCGCACTCCAGCCTGGGAGACAGAGAAAGACTCAATCTCTTAAAAAAGAAGAGGAATTTTATAGTCTGATGGCAAATGTAAACGTCCTCATTTTGCCTTTTAATTGAAATGTTAAGGTTCCTATTATACTGCAGGAACCAAAAAACATCATATGCATTGTTGTGTGTGCAGACCTCGTGCATGGGCTAGTGAACGGCTGGAGAAGAGATCGTGGTACTACGAGCAGTGTGAGTGGAAGCCAGCAACTTCTAATGTGCTGTCTTGATCTTTGCAGTAAACTAAGCTTAGATAATGTAACTTTGTATAATTGTTTTGGTATTTACTTTGGTTGTTTTTTAAAGTGAGGATTTGTATCTTCTCAATTATTCTTCCGGTGTTAATTAATCTGAAGATTTTTGTTTTAAACTGTTAATATCAAAAATTGCTATTATACAGTCTGCCTAAAAGGAAGTTGGAGTGAATGTCATTTCTGAAGGACACTCCAGTTTATAAGGTAGAAACAATTTCCCAGATTCAGGCTGAACAGAGACATTCACTCTGCTAAAAGGAGCCTCTAGGGGCACATTTGGGCTAATCTAAGTTTAATAACTCCTCACTTTCTAACCCTATTTAAGAAATAACTTCATTATAGAATACTCAAATAGAAAAAAGTAGGGAAGAAGTTAAACAAAATCAACTATCATCCTCTATGTTGAAATAATCAATGCATATATTTTAGTAAATATCATTTGTTCTTTTTTTTTTGGTAAATATGTGTATTTTTATTAAAATAGGCTCCTATGCAAGTTCCGTGACCTGCTTTTTTTCACTTAACAATATACTGTGCACGTTCTTTTTTTTTTTTTCTTTTTTTCTTTTTTTTTTTTTTTTTTTCTTTTTTTTTTTTTTTTTTTTTTTTTTTTTTTGAGACAGAGTCTTGCTCTGTCACTCAGGATGGAGTGCAGTCACAGGGTCTTGGCTCACTGCAACCTCCACCTCCCAGGTTCAAGCAATTCTCCTACCTCAGCCTCCTGAGTAGCTGGGATTACAGGCATGTGCTACCATGCCCAAATAATTTTTGTGTTTTTAGTAGAGAGACAGGGTTTTGCCATGTTGGCTACTCTGACCTCTAGCTCCTGACCTCAGGTGATCTGCCCCCCTCGGCCTCCTGGTGTGCTGGGATTATAGGTGTGAGCCACCATGTCTGGCTTGTGAACAACGTTCCTAGGTCAAAAAGGAAAAGAAATAAATGTCTCTATGATTTTATAATCATATAGAATTTATTCAAGAAGAATCCCAGTGTTAACTACTTTCCAATTGAGTTTAGACAAAATAAGTTCACAAGCTAAGACAGAAAATTCCTTCCATGAAATCAAAGGAACTAGAGAGAAAAACAGTAGCAGAAGTTCACACTACAGCTTAGCCCCAATTCACTCAATAAGAAACCTGATTTAAATGCATACACTAAATTGTTAGAAAGAAACCCTTTGATGACTCATTACCCCTAAAACAAAAAAATTCTTTTTTTGTGTTTGTTTTTTTTTGAGACAGAGTCTTGCTCTATCTCCCAGGCTGGAGTGCAATGGCGCTATCTCTGCTCACTGCAATTCCACTGAGAAGTAAGCGCTGTACAAAACAGAAAAGCTGGGCAAAAGACTAGTGACTTAGGTACCAGGAGGGTGGCTCTCCAAAATGCCACTGCAGCCAGGAACAGGCGTTGTCTACTCAGCCCTGTGTGTGAAGGGAGTCTACGTGCCTGGAAAGGAAGTATTTACGGATGAAGGGATTAGAGCTCATGACTCCTGCTGAAGTTGGGCTTTGAAAGAAGCAATTGTGTGGTAAGCTCCATTCTGGGGAATGGAAGCAGAGGGAAAAAGTCCAGCCAAGCTCTATTTATCAAGCAGAAGAAAGTTAATAGTCACAAACCAGAGACCATGGCTGGAACGTTCATGTGATTCCTTAAGTCCTGCAGTTTGTAGTGTTTGTTACTATATTGCTGCATAGAAACCACTCCAAACATAGGGACGTGAAACAACCACTATATGCCAAGATCGCACCACTGCACTCCAGCGTGGGTGACTGCTGAGGAATCTGGGCAGGACGAAGTGGCAATGGCTTGTCTCTGCTCCGCAGTGGCTGGTGCCTCAGTTGAGAAGACTTCAAGATGGGACATAAGTTGAGGCAGGAACCTCCATCTGCAGGCACCTTCACTCTTGGACGGAAGCCAACTGGGGAACCGACACGTGGCTATTTGATGTGGTTTGTCTATGTAATTTGCACAGCATTGTGGCCTCGGGGGAGGTGGACTCTTCATCTAATGGCTCAGGACACAAGGTGGAACCTGCATCACTTTTTCTAGTCTTGCTTCAGAAGTCTTGTGCTATCCCCTCTACTACATTATATTGGTGACACGCACATCACAAGCAGGGCCAGAGTCCACCCCCGGGTGAAAGGAGTGCTCAGGCCGCATGGTGGAGGAGCATGCAGGATTGCATGGGGCCATCTTTAGAAAACACAGTCCAATCCATTCACCTATTTATCCATCTAGATGAATGTAACTAGGAGTAAAACATTTAAAACAAATTATCTATGTAGGAAAATGTGCCTTTTCGGAAAACAAGGGCGGTAGCCCTGGGACCTCCTCAGACGAAGAGATCTCCTGCAAAAGATGAACAGGAGAGCACATGGGGTTGACCTGGGGTTAAGAAGTGAGTCTGGGCTGAACACAGTGACTCACACCTATATAATCCCAGCATTTTGGGAGCCCAAGGTGGCAGATCACTTGAGGTCAGGAGTTCGAGACCAGCCTGACCAATATGGTGAAACCGCATCTCTACTAAAAATACAAAACTTAGCTGGGTATAGGGGTGCACACCTGTAGGCCTAGCTACTCAGAAGACTGAGGCAAGAGAATCGCTTGAACCCGGGAGGCAGAGGTGGCAGTGAGCCGAGATCACACCATTGCTCTCCAGCCTGGGCGACAGAGAGAGACTCTCTGTCTCAAAAAAATAAAAAGAAGTGAGTCTGCAAGTAAGCCCTAGGAAAGCTTGTGACAGCCAGACACTGCGTGCACCATCTTACTGCTACATACACTGGGGCTGGATGGAAAGTTTCTCATAATTTTCCAAAACTACTTTCTTGAACTCATCCATGTGATCCGAAGACACCTGCACGGTCTCCCTAATAGCCTTGATATCCTGAGTGATGGATTCAGGCTTTCTTGGCAAAGTTAAAACACATCTCATCTCATTTCAGCTTGGCAAAGCCACCATACAATTTGGGGGAGTTGTTTGGCAGAAGGCCTACTGATGTGATCATGAGGGCTTTAAATTAAAATTCAAGGAAATGGAGAAAATACAAATATAAAACCGGGAAATCGAATGGAAATAATACCTAATCCTATTACTTCAGACAGATTTCTACTGGTGCTGAGAGGCTGGAAGGACAAATATATTTACTTTTTTAATACGAGATAATAAAGCTCGGCACCACCTAGTGTCTCTCTCCCTCCCTCCTGTCCTGCTTCCCGTAAACACTCTCTGTTCCCAGAATCCCTCTTTCTTATAGGGAAGCAGGATTCAAGGAAAATGATACTTAGAATCTGAAAATGATACTTAGAATCTGGTTTGTTAAGAAATCACACCCCTCTCTCACACCCTTGTAAACACATTATTCAGATTCCTCTGAGAGAAGAATTTGAAGAGCCTC